AGCTGTTGCTTGTTTGCAGCCTACCCTGCCATATTAGAGCTATTATCCTAACCAAGCTGGATGGGAGAATGGGAACCATCCAAAGGAAGCATGTCACAGTTTTCTGTTCTTCATATCCAAAGTGCAGTAGTTTTTCACGAATACGATATTCTCTGTTGAAAAGCACAGGTCAATTTTCAGAGTGCTGAAATTGTTGCTTTTGATAATTTTGAGTGATTTTATAGTTGCTTTTTCAGAGGAGGATTTGACATCCTCCTCACTCCATTATGATACAAGTTCCAGCTTTGGGGGGTATTGTTTGCATGGTATATGTTTGTATTATTTATGTTTTGTCCATCTATGTATACTTAAAATGGATTCCTTTTAGACAGAATATACTGAGGTCTTATTTTAAAGTGCAGCCTGATAATCTGTTTTATTAGGTGTTCTTGGGCTGTTTGCTTTTAATATTGTTATTGATCTTGTTAGATTTAGGCCTGTCATTTTGTTATTAGTTGTCTGTTTGTAACATCTGGTTTTATTTCTTTGTTTTCTTTTCCCTGCCTTTTTTGTATTATTTGAATATATTTTGGTTTTCTGTTTTAATTCATTTATTGGCTTTTTAGGTTTATCCTTTTTTTGGTATTTATCTTATTTTTAGTTATAGCTTTAGGGATTGCATTATACAGATCTTTCAAAATCTGCTTTGGAACTACTTTTACTTTACCCCACTAATCTTTGTTATACTTATCCTAAGTAGTTTATCATATATTGGAATGCTTTCAGCAGTTAGATTGCATAACAACTTAAAAGGAGAAAAGTGATAGTTTGTTATATTTACCCAGATATAATAACTCTTAAATTTGAAGACATAATTCTAAAGCTTCAAAACTTTGGTTAAAGATATAAATTTTCAAATTTAAAAAGCTCAGCAGACCCCAGATAGGATAAATTCAAAGAAAGCCATTTACAGATACATCATAATCAGTCTGCTAATGACTAAAGATAAATAACCAATCTTGAAAACACCTAAAGAAATAATAATTCAGATAATTGTAGATTTCTCCTCAGACACCATGGGAGGCTGGAAGATAGTGGAACACCATCCTTAAAGTACTGAAAGTAAAGAATGGTTAGCCCTGAATTCTGTATCTAATGAAAAGAATTTCTGAGAATTACAGTGATAATAAAGACATTCCCAGAGAAAAGGAAAGCTAAGAGAATCTGTTGCCAGCATACCTGCTCTAAAAGAAATAAAATTTCTTCAGGCTGGTGGAAGTGATATAATCAGGAAGCTTGGATCTTCAGGAATGAAGGAAGAGCTGCAAAATATATGAGTATCCTGTCGCCCTGGCCTCAGTGTAGCCTCTGAATTTGACCAAATTTGCTAGATTTCTGATTGGCTAATAGCTTTCCAGTTTTTAACCTGAGCCCTTACTTTGAATTCTGTTTCTGTTTTCCTGTATGATAGGTTACCACCCCAGGTTTATTTCCTGTCTCTGGTGTTGAAGTTAGAATCTTAGACAAAGTTTGTTTGACTCTATTGTTTTCTAAAAATGTGCTTCCCATTAGCTGAGCTTAACAACTATATATATATTTTTTATTTTGTTGGGATAAAGATGCCACATATAGTCTTATATTTATGGCCTATTGTAGAATGGTCATGAAAATTATGTTTAATTCAGTTCTCCTGAAAGGCTATTTAATCTTATTTCACTCTCTTTCCCAAAGATAGGATGACAAAATTATTAATTTCTCAACCATATTGTATATAGTATTCCACTCAGTATTGTAATTGGAGTAATAATTAGCTCAGTTTTCTTCTAACAGATGAAAAGACCTATATAGTAAGCTGCTTATACAAAAACGTCCTTTGTTACATTTGTTCATTTAATGCAGTCCTGCATGTTTACGTCTTATTTATCACTTATAGGGAATAAGAAATGTCAGCTCTCTTTTCTCTTCCCATTCCTTAGTACTTTGACCTTTGATAGCGACACTGTATTCTCATTTTCTTTGTCATGAGTGTTATTAATTTTAATATCTGAAAATGTGTGCCTATCTGTCAAAACAAAGTGTGAATCTGTTAAAAAATAAATAACCAAATTATAGGAAACTTAAATTCATCATCACTTATTTCCTCATTTCACAGTTACTGAATCAAAATGGTAGGCAGTCACAAGCCTTAGTAATTTTTTCCCCGCCCCCCACAGCCCCGCCAGCCTTAGTAATTTTTGCAACCATGTCAAAACACTGTTTTATGCACTTAATCATTTTTGAAATATGATGAGAATAGTTTATTTTGCTTGCTCCCATGTGATTTTTGATGGATTTTTCAAATTCCTTTAAATAGATGGCTTTATAGGTACTGCAATTCAGAAGTATTGATATACTTAAAATTTCGTTTCTATAGAAAGAATGTTTTTAGCATTGACTTAGAGTGTAATAGTCTAGAAACTTGAAAATAATCTTTGATTTTTTTTTTCCTGTTTCACTATTTTCAATTTCCAGCCAAGCTTACTCTCCGCTTTTCTTAAAACCTCTCTGGAATTTACCTTTAAACTCTATCACGCTGCATCTGTTCTCATAACTGTCTCCTTGTCTCCCCAGTCGACTCTCTTTTCATTTCATTGCTTTTTGTGTAGTTACCATTTTCATATTTCCAAAAGAGTCCCTTCATCCTTTGAGAATTTTCAGGAAGTGTTATGTTCTTACTGTAATAAGTTCAAACTTCTCTCACCAGTATTCATTGTCATTCGTGTCTCCACCAAGCCTTCTGTTTTGAACTTATTTTCTCCTTTTTTCCCATTGGTATCTTGGGTACTTGTCAGGTCTCAAGTAGTCATTGTGCATGTTGTAGTTCTCTTTTTACTTGCATGCCTTTCTTCATGCCTTCAACCCCATCTCCATGCCTAGCTTGAAATGCTATATCCATTTTCTTTTTAACCTGTTCAAGTTCCCATTTCCTTCGATAAATTTTGCAAAAATATCTCCAGCCCGTCATCTAGCTCTTTTTTTTTAATCCCCTGAGCTCCTATCACACAGTGTCTTTTATGTGTAATGTGATTCTCAGTGGCAGAGACCTTGTCTTGTTCTTCTCTCAGCACCTGGCCCCATGGTGTGTAAGCTGATTGGTTGCATTTCTGTCCCATTTCACTCCCATAATAACTTCATAAAGTGAGGTCAGGAAGATTCCTTGTTTCTTTTTGTTTTTGTTCAATGCTAAAACATAATCCTTCTGTCAATTCCTCCACCCTCCGTTCCCCATCAGAAGCAATCTGAATAGATAGGCAGGAAGACTTAGCTAGAGGAAATACTTTGCTAATGGAGCCAGGAGTGAAATTGACCCCCGTGAGCATCAGTTTGGTAAAAGTAGAATAAAACCTTTATTGGGAGTCACAAACATTCACTGAATCCTGTCTCCTGTCTTCAAATATCTTTGTGCAGTATTGGGGAAATTAGAAAATAAAGTGTGAACTTCTCAGCTTATCACAAATCTCTTCTAGATATTAGTAAAATAACTAGAAACTAATGTATTTTTGCACTTGTACTGCTTTCATAAAAAACAGTTATTAAAAATATTCCTGTTAAGAGTAAGTCCATAATAAACACTGGCAAACTTTTTTTGTAAATGATGAAATACTAAATATTTTTAGGCTTTGCAGGGCACCTATGGTCTCTGTCATATATATACACACACATACATATATGTACATATGTAGTTGCTGTTGTTGTTCTTATCATTGTTGTTGAATCTCACCACCCTTAAAAATGACCAGTGTTAGCTTGCATGCATTACGAAAGTGGACAATGGGTCCGATTTTGCCTTTGAGGCATAGTTTGCCAATAAGAAAAGCTAATCTGTGTAATTGGACATCTAAGAGGGCAGAAGATTTTCTCTTCTATGGAGAAGACATTGCTCATAGTAATCCAAGGCCTGAACAAACTGGAATGTGTCCAGAGGGATGTGTTCAAGTGGCCGGATCACAAGAAATCTTAACCTGAGAGGAACAACTTGTACAACAGGTCAGGTTAGATAAGTGAGAGAGGGCATTGCAGTGGTCTTCAGCATGGGAGTCCCATGAATGAGAGAAGCAGACTTGTCCTGCACAGTGCTCCCTGTAGAGCCTCAAGTGTGGTGTACAGTCCTGGGCAGTCAGGCCCTTCCCACAGAGGTTGGTTAGCAGAACCTCCTCTGCTCTGAATGATTCCTGGTGGTGTTCCGTGAAAAGGACGGAATACCTAGTAAAGAGCTCCCCTCCCGCCCACCTTCGGCCATGGTCAGTTAGTGTGTGACAGGGACATAATTGTACTTGTCATAGAATAGATTACAAATATAGGCACCAATAATAAAGGAATATTGGAGTTAAATGGAAGGATTTCCTTTGGGTGGAATTAAAGTGAATCTTCATAGGAAATGTACATTTTGGGTTTTAAAAGAGGAGCCACATGTCTGGACAATATCTAAAAATGTTACAATAATTGCATATTATTACCATAATTTTTACTGTGGTAAAAATTTCAAAAGCTATCCTTGTGCTTAGTCCAGAAATGTTCTACTTAGTTCACATGAACAAGGTGCACTTACTGGGATACTGTAATGTATATTTTTTTAAGTCTCCTCCTTCAATAGAAGGTAAAAAACCACTGAAGTAGCAAGAATCAGATACCATGAAGTGATTGTAATTGTTCTTTCATATTTGCAATGACTTTTTGATCCATCAGGAAGCAGAAGCCATAGTAACAGACTTGGCTCAGATTCAACACTGTGTGTTTCTCTTTTCTCCATGCCAGCACTTTTCCCCTGTTAAAAAAATTCTGGCAGACTAATTTAAAGATATCTACTTAGGCTGGATTATTTGCCTACTGGACCTATCCTGCACTTCAGTCAGTATTCATGTCTGTGGAAGTAGTAGCAGCTACTAATTTTATTTGGTTGAACTGTTACAGTATTTATTTATTTATTTAATTAATTCATTTAATCAGGATGCAATTTATCTTAATTTTGATTTTGGTTGTAGAGGTTGGCGATTTGAAGGAGCTGCAGACACTAGACATTTCTACCAATCGTTTGCTAACTTTACCCGAGAGGCTTCACCTGTGCCTTTCTCTGCAGTACCTCACTGTGGACCGAAATCGTCTATGGTGTGTGCCGCGCCACCTCTGCCAGCTGCCCAGCCTCAATGAGCTCTCCATGGCTGGAAACCGTCTTGCATTTTTGCCACTTGGTAAGTAATCCTGTTTGTATGGCAATGCAAAACAGCTAAAGAATAAGATGGAAAGCCTTTGTTTCCTTGACTAGGAAGGATTAGTTAGTTTCCTTTATTGTGTTTATGTTGAAGATGATTCTCTAAATTCATTTTTGCAATGAACAAAGCATCATTCCCAGGTAACACATAAAGTTTATTTCTGCTATGGATTTCATATTTTTAAAAAACCTGTGCTAAAAATTTATTTAGGAAAAAAAAAGAAATATGAGATGATTTACTCAGAGAAAGGAATTAAAATGTATGTATATATAAAATATGCAAATAGATATTATATATGTATATTTTATATATGTAAAACTATAAAATTGACAAGTGGTATTGAGCAAGATGAAAGAATAGCTACTGTGCAAATATATCTGTTTAGACATTAGCTTCCATGTAGAAAAGATGTCATTGAGTATGCTAATGATTAGTATTGCCGGATAACCAGACTAGACAATTTTAAAGACTTTTGAACTGCCTGCTGAGCTAGAAATGTCAACCTGGCTAATAAATAGCGTAGTGTGCACTATAGAATTCTATAGCAGCCCATTTCAGTATAAGATGTGTTAAGGAACATAGGCCTTTAGTAAAATAATGCGTTAATATTCACTGAGAATTGGATTATTTTGTTAACTTGTAAGAAACAGAACTGACATTTAAAAAAAATTAAAATTTGAAGCCCCACAGAGCCCTAAAGTGTCAGAATAAGCATCATATGATATTATTCATTAAAGCATTTTTAAAATGCATAGTTTATCTTGAGGGCAATGAAGTGAATAATTTACTAGTCCCTGAAAGGAAATATTTTCTACCATAATACAGTGCACAAATTATTTTCAATAAAAAATATCTTTAAGAAAACTTAAATCCTGAGAGAATTGAAAATATGAGAGACGTGAGCATCAGTTTGAGTAATAATAAATAATTATCCAATTTAAAAAGATTACTTTTCTATAAATATAATTAAATTCTTTTTTAAGATTAAGAAGCTAAAGTAAAACCATTTCAGAAACAAGCTACATTCCTAAGAAATTAGAGCTTTCTTTCAGGTGAGCAAATTATTGAATATAAATTGATATTAGAAAACAAATATACCACTGCTGCATAAACCACAGTTTGTAGAACAATTATAGTGGACAAGCACCAAGTTACAAATCTAAAGATACAAGTTCTAAACTGTCTCCATCACTTCATAGAGCATCACCTGGATGCTCTTTTTCCTTATCTCAGCTCATTTTCCTTATCTGGAACCAGAAATGATACATTTATCCTACTTAGTTTAGTTATTTTGAAGGTACATAAGATAGTTGTTTTTTATCTCCTCTAGCCGTGACTCCTCACCCCCCTAGTCAGTTCTGCTCATTCCTACCTGTTGTTTCACCAGGGACACAGTGCAGCATGTGCTGGGATGACAGGGGTGTTGGGAGAAGAGAGGGAAGCCGTCCCAGCAGATGGCTGACCACTGTTAACCTTCGAGGTGCTGAGGAGTGTGGCGACAGCAGCAGCTGACCCGAGTGATGCCGTGGGTAAAGGACAGAGTCCTCTGCACTTTGCCCGGCTGCTTTCTGCTTTGACACCTCCCTTATGCACTGAGGCGTCTTCTCTATGCACTGTGGTGAGCGCTGCTGTGGCTGCGGACATGGGAATCTCTTCTTCAGCTCTCAGTGTTCAGTGGTGAGGAGAGCCTTACCAGTTAGTTTCTATCTCCAGGCTTCTTGTCACCCCCAAAGCCTTGCTGAACTTGTTAATATGTTATCAAAGAGAGGCAAGATCTGCACTGGGTTCTGAGCAGGATCCTTCCCAACATTCAAGCTCTCCAGAGCTCAGTCCTGGGACTGTGGACAGCCAAAGATGCGGAAGCAACTTCCACACTCCCCAGGGCGCCATCCCAGCTCATGAGGTTTTCAGCCCTGGCTGGACATAGGCCTGTGGACAGGCTTATCCCTCACGCTAGGAAGTCATACAGGCAAGAGGGTCTGGTAAAGACCGTCCAGCGAGAAGGAAGCAGGCTGCCTGGAGCAGTGCTCTGCCCTGGCCTCAGACTGGGTTCTTTGAGAACAGCATGAATAAAGGGCCAGATAACTGATACAAGCTCTGGGGGCCTTTCTCCACTGTTGGGTTGGATGGTCTTTGTGAAGAAGTGGATGAGACAGCCAGAGAGCTGTAGGGTGAGGTTGCCCAGAGGGCGTCAGGAGAGCAGAGACTACATACTCTGTGCAGATGAGGAACTCGAAGCTGACAGAAGTTTCAGCAATCTTCTCAGTCTGATTATGGTTTTTGATTTTTTTGTTTTCAACACCATAGAAGGTAGATTTGGAAAGGGAATTTAATTAAGTCTTTAGGAAGAAAATAAGTTCATAGCTGTCCTTCCATGGACTCTGTGTGCTTGAAACCTTTCCTTCAACTCCTTTCTGATACAGCAGAACTGTCTAATGCTAAAAACTATACAGGACAGAGTAAAACGAGCAGGCAGCTGCTCACACCACCTTTCCTCAGAGAACTGAATTGTTGAAAACTTAGCATATAGGGACGCCTTTGTAATGTAGTTAAGTCAGATACGCTGTGAATACACATCCACACAACTCAAGGTTTCAAATAGAAGCCTCCTATGTTTAACCATGATTCTAATGTAGGAGCCGAGCGTTTATGAAATATCTTTAATATCTTTAATATCTCTGCCTGTGATCGGAGGAGAGCTATTATACTGAATTCAGTTTCTTGCCACAGAACTTTGGACAAAGCAGTTTTTAGGACAAGGCAGTTTTTTTATGGGGCTTTTATGTCAGATTATAGCCTCTTCATAAAGCAGTTACAGAAGCTATAGTACGGATGACTTAAATCATTTATAATACTATCTAAATCTTTAACACCCATGGAGTGTGTTCTTTTTAAGATGAAAAATTGTATCAAGAAAGGAGGATGTTCCTGTTATAGCTATACCATGACAGCTGAGTGACAGACTAGTCTACACACAGAAGCTCTGTTACCACTGCTGACTGTCAGTGAGGAGGAGAGGAAATTAATTGCATGAGCCTTGTGCTATGAGATTTAATAGAGGTCTTGTTGATTCAGTATAGCTCTGTAGACTAAATAGCTCATAAGTATGTGACTCTCCTCTGGGCTTCTGAAAATATGGGAAAACACAAGGAAAAGGATTTTTTCCCCCTAAGGTGGTTTTTTTTTAACTACGTTTACTGATTGCTCTTGCATAATTAATAAACCATTATTCAGTAATGTCTACAACTTATTTAATGTTGAATAATAGATACAAGTTCCGTGAAGTTGCCGTGTACAAATTGACTATGGAAGAGTATTCTTTAGTTAACCCCCAGGAAGTGCTGTGTCAGCTAAACTCAATGTCAGGAACTTCTGTAGTTTAAGATAACAAAAGTTGCACCCACGATGGCAGGTGGAATTTCTGAGTATTATTTAGAAAACAGTGAATGAATTCTTAACCAAAAACATTTGGCAAGTGATGTTGAGGTTAACAGAGTATCCTGGTGTATGGATTCCCATGTCATAAGCCCCAAAATTAGTGAGAAAATAGCTTCCTACTATTGGGAAATTATTTATGTTTCTAAATCAGTCCAAGAGTTGTTGATCCTTGGACATTCTAGTAATAAAGTATTTATTTTCTCAGGAAAAGTTATTCTGTGTGCCAAGGACTTGGCCTGTGAGTAAAATGATAGCTTCTTATTGGGGCTATACCCTGTAACTTTTATAGGGATATAAAAGTGTACTTTTTATCACATAACAGGAGATTGCTCCAGCTTTTGTGGTGGCTGTAGTCATTTTTCCTTTGTAGGAGTAGGATACCTTGTGTAGGGTGAAAAAAAAGTTTATGCGAAGTATTGGTGCAATTTTAGAAAGTAGCTTGTAGGCATTTTCAAAGCCCATGCTGAAATCTTTTTGTTGTTGTTGCAAATGGTATATAAATGACACAATTTTTAAACTACACTTATTTTTACTATTGCTTCTCATTCCTGCTTTCTCTGTATCTGCTTAGAAGGTCAGGAAAAGAATTGCTGTTTACTGTTTTTTAAGAAAATATTTAAATCCACAAAGTGAAGCTATTCAAACTTCAACTCCAGTATGGACACCAGATGGAAACCAGTTAATAATTCCTTAATCTCAGACTTAGAGATGAATGTAAACTGTACTTTACTGAACCGTGGAATGTATTTGATCTGCTGCTTGAAGAAGTACTGCATTGAGGTCATTGTTTAATGGGAATAATTTGCAAAGTTTGTAGCCTTAAATACGTTTCAGTGCTAAAATGTTTTCTTCTGGTTCAGACCAGAAGCCCAGAGGTTGGAATCAGTCTTGTGTTTGAGTAGAAGGTATCTTCTGCTTTCCAAGGAGGGGCCAAAAATCATGTTCTGTAGGGATTGTTGGACAGGTCTCCCATCAAAGGCATAATGAAAAAGGAGAAAAGAAAGGCTTGAAAACAAGGTTCAAAAACTAGTAGTGGGAAGAAATGAGAGAAAAATATTCTATTAACTAAAGTTTATATAGACCCGACTTCGGGAGTAAAGTTGTAACTCTGGAATGTGTATGTTTTAAAGAAAGTGGGTGTTCAGTTCTTCTTTTGAGCTCCTTTTTTTTGCAAGTATTTATTTAAAAATTTTTTTCATCCTGGTGTGACTTACTTATCTGACTTTTTCCACTATCTTAATGAATCCCCTCTGCTTTATTTTTTCATCATTTCAGACCTTTACTCTTGCCTTAAGGTTTTCTTAGGGCGTAAACAGGATTATTTAATATGACTGAGTTGATAGGATTATTTAATATGGCTTCTCTAGTGTGGGCAGATGTTGACTTTTCCTGTGCTAATGTTTGAAGAGGAAAGTTCACCTAGAGTAGGTGAGCTTTAAAGGGACAAGTGTGTATTTTTCTCAAAGTTTTTGGAATAGGGTTTGGGGTAGGCAATGATTAATATGAAAAAACTGAAACTCTGTTTTCCTCAACTATCAATT